TTCTTCCAGAAAATGCAATATAATCTTTAGGTAATTATATTATGCGACGTAAACAGTCTCTTCACTCCCAAACGTTTAACATCATTACTATAACTCCTATAGTTATACGGAAGAAAAAAACTCGCTCTTAAAAGATATAATGGACACCATACTATAAAACAGTGGACAGAAAATGTATTAGGAATGAATAATAGCAATCAACAAAATACTTTGAAACCTTCTTTAAATACTTAGATGTTTTAGAATGAATGAAATCGCTACAGCCAAATGTAATTAAATTTCTTTAGGGAAGTCTATTTGTTAAAAAAAATATTTTTTTTCAAATGAAATAGCACCTTAGAAAAAGGAAGAACTCTGTTCTGGATCATTATGTATGTAGAGGGCCTTACTATAATAGTGCTTTTAGAGAAACATTCTATTTTATTCTGGAACCTACTAGTCGACTTAGACCCTACACTTGGATAACAATAGTTATCCGAAAGAAGTTCTGATATGTCGTCATGCTCTCTATTCAGCACTTAGGAACATCTAAATGATCTAGTGTTATGTTAGTTACACAGAAATACAGAAAACCATAAATATCTCCAATCAGTTTATTAGTTAATAGAGAAATTAAAATATGTTAGCAAACCAATAACATTTCAATTTTTTTCTAAAGGAGAATTACAACTTTAAACCAGTGTTATAACAGAGCTTCTTCCAGTAACCAAGTTGTTGAAGAGCGTAAAATATTCTATAATCGGTAGAAAGTCAATTCAGGTGAATTACATAATATTTTAATCGAACTCTATAGAATAGTCCTTATCATACTTTCATTCTTTTCATCGTACTAAAATACTAAAACATGAAAGAGCTTAATGGTTAAAATATAAAGTAGTTATTCAAACACTAAACCCTAAAACACTTAAACTTATGTGATACGTTTGTTAAAATTAGGATAAAAGCTAGAGAGGAGGTTTTTGTTATAAAGAATTTTTTATTTCATAAAAGTTCGTGGTATATTTGTTTATGAGGTATTCGACAAATAACAAATAATTATTTTATAATACTCTTTCTCCACGTCTTCTTTGAATATAAGAATGTTTAGTTTTAGATCTAAACTTTAGTTTTTTAGGACCTATTGAACCAATAGAGTAACAGTGTTGCTTTAGGTGTTTTTCTCTTGTAATTTTCAGTTCTGGTATTTTAATCTTGAATTTCCAAGTGTTAGCTATCGACTAGAATTGTATGAGATCTTTGTCACGTTTACTGTTAAAAAAAAGCGTTAATTGAACAAACTTATCCACTATACATCTTCCATTACAGTAGCATGTGAGCTGTTTTATCCACCGGGTTCAGTTAAAAATGGCATTGAAAACAACAGAAAAAGATAATCATTCAAGTTCAATTCGATCGAACTTTTATGTAGAAAATCGAAGAAATGAATTGTGGAAGAAAGTCGCTATAATGAAATTGTTCAGACAACTTTTTTTTTATCGTAAATTAGAATTGTTTTTCTTCGATAATATCAAAAGCAATCCTTGCGCTTTGAAGAACTTTACATTCCCTGTATTTTTTTCTCTCCACAAATTATATTTTTGGCTTAAAAAAAATAGAAGCGTGTGTCTGAAGATTAGTATAACTACACGTAAAGAAGTTTGATGTTTTGGCCGTAGTTATTGTGTAGAAAAATACATTAATAAAAAAGATGCCTTATAATTCTTGTTACTGCGTGACTTAGATATTAAAAAACGGTTACTGTTAACTCAAGTAAGAATACATTGAATTAGGTACACGTCTACCAATTTTCAAAATTCTTAATACGTACACGTGTTAGGTGAAGTTTTGTTTAAAGTCACATTAACTTATGAACGTACATTTCTAACTAAGAATTTCACATTGTTTATAATAAATTCTATGGTGATGAAATTTCATGTTTATATTTTTTAATTTTGTTGTGGTAAATAAAAATGCTAATTATAAAGTTATTTTTCTCGATTATGGTTAAAAGTTAAAGAACGTTTTCAATTCTTACAAGTTTCGTCAGTAAAACTTGACTACTGTTATAACATAGATTTTCAGTTATGAACAGGACTATATTCAAGATTACATTTAAGTGAGGTATTCAGAGATATAAAAATGTTATAGTTTAGTATTATATTGGTTATTTATGTAATACATGTTATACTCAAGCTTATGACCAGAATTATAATAAACGGAATGTGTATTATCATATATATGGCTTTATTAAGGCCTAAAGCTAGTTTTTACCTCTTTGAGGGATATATTAAATGTTATAATCGCAATGTCATTCCAAATTATATACAGTGTTATATTTATAAATATATATTTTCATAGAATTAAAGTTATATTTATTGTTTTGGGTGTCAAAGTAGTTTTTATTTAATATCGTATTTGTTTTTACTGTTCATTTTTTAATGTTATAACCTGTATTATATTAGGTTTTATATTCAGTATTATATGTAGAGTAAGTAATATTATAATCAGCATTCAAATTATATTTAACGTTATTTATTGTTATATTAAGAGTAACATTTTGCTTTATATTGAGTCATATCCACTGTTGAAGAAGGTTATACTTGTTGAGGACTATTCAGAGAGTCAAAAATAAGTATTTAGGGTTTCAGTTAATGTTATATTTAGATGTATATTTAACGTTCTATTCAGTGATCAGCTTCTTAGTAAAACATGTTAAATCCCTAACTGAAAGAAATATAGAATTTACAAATTCACACATCAATATAATCACTAAAAGATGTTAGTTTACTTGTGAGTTTGGTGATAAATTATCTCTACTGTATATTTTGGTAATAAAGTCGTCCTGTTAAACTTGCAATAAAGAGACACTTCAATTGACAGTCACTCAATGGCACAGCCTAAGGAAGGCCTAAATCATTTCTAATTCTCACCTAGAAAGCTATAATTCTTAAATTTCATTTTGTTTCCCCTGAAAGAAGCAAAAACTCATTATACTCAATCACTGTAGTGAACCTACACTTATTCACCGTTCTCATTTTTCAAATAATGAGAATAAGAATTCCTTTACCTTAAAAGTACAGGATTTTACCAAACACTATGGATAATAACATTGTTGTTTGAGAAAAACATTTCTGATAGACGTTCGTGTTTACAATGTTTATTTTCATATTCACATTTATATCTGAATTCTGAACATAATGTCTGTTTTTGTGTTAGTTTTTATTTATAATTACATAATCTAAATGTTTCTTAAAAAACAAATTGTTGATGTTTTGCAGAAAAAAATATTATTGTTATTCAATATTGACCAATCTGGAATGTGTTTTTTGGTCAGTAAGATAAATTTGAAACAATAAGAGCGATTATCATTCTAGTATTCGTCTTCTCTTACCAATGATAATGATCATAAAAACGTAACTCAACTCTCTCTCTGCAAATAATTTGAAATAAAAAAATGTGTTTTATATTTATCTACATGCAAAATGGAAAAATTGATAAGTCCATTGCGCGTCATTAAGTTTTGTAAAATGTCATTCTATTTTGTAGAATATGACTTACAAGCCCTATCAATAATTTATGTTGAACATTGAACTCACTGGAGAATACCCCCTGTAGCACGTTCCCTAAACTAAAATATGACTAGTCTTACATCGCGATACTTGAAAAAAATATGACTCATACGGGAGGTAACTTTAGTAAACAGTAAACCACCCAGAAAATAGAGCCTAAGATGTAGGGACAAGGACCGCGTTGATATAATGAAAATTTTGATGGTTACAGAAAATTAACATATGTTTTTGGAAACACAAAATTATAGAATTCCATGTGACTTGAACTGGATTGAACTTAATCATTAAAAGCTATATAGATGTTGCATAACAGTGAAAACTACACAATTTTCCACTACACTGACGGTATAAAACATTGAAAAAGATTTTATAAAAATATCATTCGAGTTTATTTCTTTTTCTTTTTTTTTTTCAGAAATGATAACAAACTTGAAACATATAGTACAAAAATAATAAGCCAAAATATAAACAAAGATGAGCGTAATACTAAAAAGGTATTGGTTTCACTTTCACAATTTTTCACAGGTCTCTAAACATACCACGTGATGGCTGCTTCGTGGTTTTAAGTACCCAAAATAGCCCACAATGATAATCTTATATAGACAGTAGAGAGTTGATTGTCAAAAATGCTTTAGAATCAGCGTGCAAAATTAGTAGGTACTTCACACATAGGCACAAAAGTATAAATTTATTTTCAAATAACCGTCTGGCGATATTTGTTTCCCACAAAACTCGAAAGAAGATTAATATATTAATCAAATAGCAATAAATTATGATTGCTATGTAACCTAAGTGCCATTATTCTTGATTGAGTAGGTTGTGTCTAGTTAGGATCAACGACAATAAATCGTGCTTGGATTTTCCTTCGTCGTTTGTTGCTTGTCTTTTATTAGCATTTTATAAACTACATTTCTGTTACAAGTCTATGTTCTCTTAGTTTTTGCTCAAAAGTCTTTTTATAATTTATCTATAACTAGCCAAAAGAAAAAAGATCCGTTTGCAAATATTTCAAGTTAAAATCTTTGATTTACTCTCATGCCTAAGCTGCACATGACTCAAATTGACGAAAAGCAGTAAAGGAATATTTGTTTATTGTTAAGCGTAAAGCTACACAATAAGATAGTTGTGCTTTACTCATTGCGGGTATCTTAACTCGATTTTCAGAGTTATAAACTCTTTGACTTATCGGTGAGCCACTTGCCAGAAAAGAATGTAAATATTGTTTAAACAAAACTTACCTCTGAACCTGAGCCTGTTCTCTTCATTTATTTTCTTATTGTAAATACAACGAATTATGTTAAAGTCTGCGAAACAATGTTCAATCTATCCTCAAGGTTACAGAGAAGAGGCTAGGTCAAAACGAAGGGCGATAGGTGCTAGCAAAACCACGCATGCGTAAGCGTTGGATGTTCTCGATTGAGACAAGATTGCAGCGCACCATAGAAATAACTCACTGCACTAAAGGACAGTAAAGCTGACGAGCACGGTCGCATTCTCTCAAGGGCACGCGTCGAAACGCATGCACATCTGTTGCGAACACGGGAATTCTGCAGTAAGACTTGCTCGCACCCTCGATAGCAGACGATGTTTCTGAGGACGCCAGCAATGAGGTATTGACATTCTCGTGGCGCCAGGCTACGATAGAAAGTGTAGATGAAGTTTGCATTGAAGTTTTGAAAAATAAAGTTCACTGAATCAATTCTGGTACAACAAACTTTCCCAGGACAATATGGTTGGACGGAAGACATATATTGGACTCCTTATACTCATCCACCTTGGTGTGCTGTCTGCAGAAGGTAAGAACGTTTCACAAAGAACGTGTAACTTTATCATGCAGTGAAAGATAACCAAATAAGACGTATTTCGTCAGGTATCTTTTAAATATTTTTTGGAACACATGAGCTATTTACGTCACTTTATTGTCTGTAAATACAATTGTGTATATTTAATTACATTTAACATAGTGTTTTATATTGAATATGTGACTTAGTTACACTAGAGTAACTGGTTTATACTGATAACAGTCACTGGAAATGACAGAACATTCTAGAATAATCAAAATGTAATCATACGCTGAGATATGTTTCAGTTTCATCTTGTTTTAAACTAAACTGAAGTGAAATTAACCATACACAAGTATTCTAGTTTATTGTTGTGTGTTTAGGTAACCACCTTATATTTAGAAATAGCCCCCAATTTCATGTGTAAATTTTAACTGTGTTTTTTTGTTAGCTTCACACCTGCATCATTACTGTTACCTTTATTTATAACGTAATAATATGCTAGTGTATTTTATCTTCAGGTTTTTGTAGTTAATTATTTCATCAAGAGTTTGCGTATAACAACGATGTTAACCATTACTTAAAGAAAAGAGATCGTTCTATCCTCCCCCAACTGTGTACATTTCAGTAAAGAAAATAGATCGTTCTATCCTCCCCCAACTGTGTACATTTCAGTAAAGAAAATAGATCGTTCTATCCTCCCCCAACTGTGTATATTTCAGTAATTGTTTAATAATAGATACAGTAGACCATTATGTATTACTATTAGCTAAAATTAGGACCACATGCTTAGCTGCTTGGTTGTCTTATATAAGACATTAGAATGCGTTAATTTTACTATTTCATTGACTTATTTACTCTAGTTCGTTCTCCATCCTTCCTGAATAATCCACATTAGCTTAGGGATTAGTTTCAGCTTGTTCTCTCTCTAGTAATTGAAGGATTACTCTCCCAGTCATTCGCTTAACCTCCTCTGGTTTTTGTTTTTGGTGACTATGACATTAGATTCCAAATCATTTTCCTTCTAATTCCTCTTGCGAGCGTGAGATTTACTCTTCCAACTCGTTTCCCAGTCCTACAAAAATAAGTTCCACGTTCAAGCTTGTTCCTCATCGGCTGCAAAATTAATTTCCCAGACTTGTCTCTTCCTGAATGACTGAATAGATGGAGCTTCTCCATCCTCTCTGTTCGCCTGATTTGAAGACTGCCACAGTTAAAACAAAGCTGTGCTAATGTTGAAAGTGCGAGAAACTGTAGTGGTTCTTATCAAAACAGTTTTTAATGAACTGATTAGTCATGTATCCAATCATACATAATTCTGCGTAGTGTTCCTTGAGGAATCAATGATCGCTATCATGCTTTATGTTTGAACGTTTTATTCTGTAACAGTATTGGCATTTTTAGTGTTGAATGAAAAGATACGTTTTCCAAAATGTCTCAAACTACGTCAAATTTAGTTTATCTTATAAATGAAGAGTATGTACTCAAATTGTTTTATTGTATTATAATTTTTAAGTAGGACTCGGAAGTTAGTGTGTAAGTTTTGACTTTGACTGCTGTACGCTACTATACTAACACAATTATGTAACATTGCAAGCTACATCAAACATCTGGTACTTGTTTAGGCCAATCATATCCGTTTTTATAACTTTTGGGTTGATATAGGTGGATGGTTGTCCTAAGAAATTACCCGTCTTTCCCCGATACATGTAAAGAGTCACTCATGTGACCTGCATACAAACTATATTAAACGTTCTTGAATTATTAGTTTGGACTGCGTACAAGAAATATGGTGAATAGAAACGCTTCTAATAGTGTTGCTTTTTCATGCTGATTAACAGAAAGCAACAGTTTCAGTTTTAACTGGTTACGTATTAGAATTTCAAATAGTCTAAAATTGAGTTAACTGATAAATTTAGTAATTAAATTGTACTTTGAATTTAGCAGTTAAGTAAAAGCCGATATATAATCAGTTTATGATATTTACCAACAAGATTGATACACATAGTTTCTTTCTTTTTAATACAAATACGTTTTTATATAACACAACAATTCAATTTATAATAAGAGTTATTACAAATAGTTATTACAAACAATGATTTATAAACAAAGTTTCACAAACTTACAAACAATATAAAGTCTTCATTATAGTCTGGAACTTCTTCGATATCTTATCGAGGGTTCACAATGAGGGAGTTGATTACGAGTTGAGGTAGGTATAATTCACTTAACAGGGAGCTAGTTAGCTTTGTTCTTCGTTATTTACCAGCCACACACGCAGAGTTTTCCACCGTGACGTTATGTAATGTTTTCGTAAAAATACTGATGTCCTATGAGAATCCACTGAAGTTAAATGATTTGTAATGTTCGAAATTTATAGCGTTTCTGGTCAATATATCTGAAGTTCCCGATTAATAAGCGTTAATCACAATTATAGCTTACGAAGTTTATAACACACCAATGACAGCAACCCAATAATAGATACTCTTTTTGGCGTATCGCGTTGGTTATATTTATAGGCGTGTGGAGGCTTTCTCGAAATTTCATTTTTATGTAGCAATACTGACGCTAACACTAGTGTTTAGTACACAAATATATTGTTGATTCTTATTCTCGAGAATCTTCTACAACTTTAGAGAATAGGCGGGAGTTTCGCAATACATATCTAACACTGTAAGCTATGTATATTTCTATATATATAAATTTAATCTAAACAAACGTCGATAGTAAAATAAATATATAATAATAAATCCGTCACAAACTTTAAATACGTCTGATTCAGAGCGTTCATCACGTTGAAACTGTCCATTTAAAGTTAACGCGTCCCATTTATCAGTTTGTAAAATACATTTTTGTTCTAACTAAATTAATGATGTTCTGTTCAAGTCTCTACGATAAAAATTATTTCAGATTGACAGGTACAATAAATGTTTTAATTACTCTACAAAATATGCCCTATTTGCTTATATTGGTTGATGGTGAGTGCTACGAGTAGCTTTGCGTGCAAAGATTATATGATTTTTTTATTTATTTTTTAGAAAAATATAGAGCGTTAAAGATAATTTTTCTTGGACAGCCTTTACAATCAAACACAGTTGCGAGAAGGTTTATTAGACTTATATTGACGAGAGCCAATCACATAACTTGATTTTAAGCAATGTTTGCATACATCGATATTTTTCTGCACATAAGATATTATTCTTATCTATCGAAACGCAATTTTAAAATAAGCGTCAGAAAGCAATAAATTTTATTACTCTATTGTCCTGGTTGATCGTTCGAACACACGCACAAGACGTTAGCGATAAAATTATTATATTTTTGAAAATGTACTTCAAGTAAGTGGTTCTGTGGATTCGTGGAGTAACGAAAAGGAATATTTATAGGTGATTATATTCCATTATCAAATTACAAGTTAATCTCTCAAGTTCTTCTTACTCAACACGACTAGCATAGTTTTATTTCAAATCTGTAACACTTAAAACAAGACAGAGTCCTCAGTAGTCACAGCACTTGAAATTCTCTAAGGCAGGATTAGAGAAAATTAATATATAAGACTTTTTTTCCGTTTTATTGATATTAGCTGTATTTTTATGTGCCAGCAATACCAAGCGTGGGGCGCATATACCCGATTCAATTTTTTTACTTATCAGGATCTCTACTAGCTTACCCACAAATTGAAATTCTTTTAAGCAGGAATATAATAAGGTAATCTATGAGACCTTGGGCGTGGTCAGATGCATCAATCGAAAGGGTTTGACCTCCTGAGTCAAAAACTGTAATTAGATCTCAAGTAGATCAAGAGATGACAGAGCTATGAGCTAAAATGTTGTACTTAAAAAATGAAAAACAGAAAAACTCAGAGCTGTTATATGAGCGGCTAAAAATCCTAAAGTTACTTTGTTTCAGTGGGGTATGAATGAGGGCGCGGTTTGGTAGAGTCTTGGGTTTGCGATGTTTGTTTGTTTGTAATTAAGCACAAAGCTACATAATGAGTTATCTGTGCTCTGCCCACCACAGGTATCGAAACCCGGTTTTTAGCGTTGTAAGTCCGCAGACTGTGCCACTGGGGGTTGGATTTCCGAGCTCGCGAACCTATTACGAATCCAAGAATCCAAGCAATATCACAAAATATCCTTCTTGTTTTGATTAAGCTGTGGGTGTTTTATAGGAATGAAAATCAATCGTTTACGTAGGTGGTCAGTAGATCAAAATTAAGGACCGCAGCAGATTGCCTTACTAGCATTACTATAAATAAAAAATGCCATACTTTTCTTCTGTAAAAAAAGGGGAAGATAAAAATATTTAAAAGTATCACAGAGCTGCTTTTGAGTTATTTAAAAAAATGAATTGTTCTTCAGTTATACTTAAGTAGTAAGATATTGTTTACTTGTTACGAGTCAGGAAATTATAATACAATTGTGTAGCTACACTAAACGTGAAGAATGGCGTCTGTATTCAACAGAAGATTTTGGTTTAGACTTACCTGCAAATTGTATTCAGTTTGTTTTGGATTTACCGAACATTTTTAGGTCTTATATCATTAAATTATGTCTCACTTATCATTTTGATAAAGTTATATCTGGTTTATCACGCACTGATAAGATTATATTTGGCTTATCACACTCCGATAAAGTTATATCTGGTTTATCACGCAATGATATGATTTTATTTGGCTTATCACACACCGATAAAGTTATATCTGGTTTATCACGCAATGATATGATTTTATTTGGCTTATCACACACCGATAAAGTTATATCTGGTATATCACGCAATGATATGATTTTATTTAGCTTATCACACACCGATAAAGTTATATCTGGTTTATCACGCAATGATATGATTTTATTTGGCTTATCATACACCAATAAAGTTATATCTGGCTCATCAGATACTGAAAAAAATATTTGGCTTATCACACACACCGATAAAGTTATATGTGGCTTATCACACACTGATAAAATTAAATTTGGCTTATCAAACACCGATAAAATTATATCTGGCTTATCACA